GTTTTCTTCGCCCGGCCCGTCCAGCATAGGCTCTGGTCAAGATGCTTCAGAGCCGAGGCTACTTTCTGAACTTGCTAACTCTCGACTTTTTCGGTCGGTTTCACTGTCGTGAGTGCCAAGGCGGCTACATGCCCGCTATGCGCTGAGCCCGCTCGCGCCGCGTCCAATTGAAATTGTCGTCGTGGTGGTGGTCGTCGCTGTCGTCGAAGGGGTCTGGCTTTATCAGACCGTTTTTGTGCTGCCGGGCTAGTGCTGGTACTAGGGCGCTTAGGACGGCCATGCATTCCATCACAAGTTCGTTCCGGCGAGGCCGTTGTCCTGTTTTATCATGCTTGAAAGACATGTGTAAACCAAAGTTCATTCGCTGAGGAACCTCTTCTACTGGTGGGGCGGCATCAACCGCCATCTGGTAATCAACTCCGTCGCTTGGCACAGAGCTCGTTTGAAAACAAGAGCGTCAAATTGTCGGACGTGCTGCCGCGTGGAAGCTTTCCGCATCGCTCTGAAAGCGAAAATGGTTGCATCACTCTTGGCTTGTCTGTCACCTTCGTGTGCATAGGTTCGATCCTCGCCCTAATGTCTCCGAACCTAGGCCTGACTGCCAAGGTTTACTACTTAGTCTTCCTGTTGGTCTTGTACTATGTGCAGCTCGGCTACGAACCGACGGAGCACTCGCAGATGCATGCATGATGACAAGACGGTTGCTACTGCCTGCCACGACGCTCCAAGAAAGGCCCTTTCGGTACCAGCAGTTCGTGCTTTTTTCGGGTGAGTGGAGACCCACGGCGCAATGTTTCGTCGAGCTTCCTGTAGAAGTGCTTTTGATGTTGGAAGTTTTCCGCCGCACATTTGGCGTTGCTAATTAGTCGTTCTTACATTCGACTCTTCGTCAAACTTGGCTGAGGCAGACCAGGTACCCAGTTACACAGGTCGACTCCTCCAGCAGTGGCTCCCACCTCAGGGGAGGGGGGCTACAGGTTGGCAGCGGCCCTCGCTTGGTTGCTGTTGACAAGCGGGGCACCGGAGGCTCTGGTCTGAAGTCTAGAAGCACAGAGCTTCCACCGGCAAGAATGCGACAAATCTAGGCAGCTGCAAAGTCCAAGCACTCACGACCGAAAGTCAGATCTAGACGGAACTGAAATTGCCGATCCGAAAGGTATATCGATGCTGGGCAGTCTAGCTCTCAGAGATTGGGCAAGTTCGGACAATATCAGAATCTCTGCCATGCAGTTGCAACCGCATCGAAGATCAATAGGGAAGCAAGCGGCCGTCGGTATAGGGCTGTGAGGTATTTCGGGGCCAGAGGCCGGACATGGCGTGACATGATTTTCTGCGTCAAGATTCTGCCTGGCTGTTCAAGGTCTCACGGTGTTTCTGCTTGTGTTCCGCTGGGGCCACGGTCTCTTGCGTGCAATTGTCTGAGACAACCCGGAAGGCCCGAAGGTAGCTCAGAGCGACTGCACTGCACCAGTTGGACTTCGGCTAGGCATGAACCAGTCCATGGCTCGAAACAACGAAGCCACGCAGCGAACTGACGTCACTTGGCTTTGGAGAAGCACTTTGGCTGTCTGCAGCCATTAAGCACAGAACTAGGGAGCGTGCGTCCGAGGTATCCAAAGTATTCAGTTTCTCAAGACAGTCTCGCCCAGGAGATGTTTGGAGAGCTGGACTTCTTAGTTCACTCCGTCTGCACATTCATGCAAGGCACTGCCGCTCCGGACCATGTAGGTGTTGGTTTAGCAGCAGCTTGTTTGTCAAGTTTGTGGAGACTAGCTCGGCTCACATACGACGCTTATTCTTGATGCAGCGTGGGTGTGCGAACTCTATGCAGGTGCTGGCGAAGATTCGCTCCAAGAATTGGTCATGAATCCAGCACGCAAGCGCACCGAAGAGGACAGGAGTTCAGCAAAAGGGGCCTCTGTGCACAGACGATGCAGACTTTGCTGGGCGAGAGAGGTCGAGGGACTTGGAGGGACAAATGTACCCTTCCGCGATCTCCCCGACTTGTTCCAGAGGAGATCCGCGTGATGCGCCTGCAAGGGGAACCAGCCTCAGCTGCAAATGTGTGGAAAACAGCTTTGGCCGTGCAGCTTTGGCCGTTCATGCACAGACGCAGAGAGTCTCCGCTTTGGCTGTTTCTCCCAGGAACTTGCCTCGGCGGTTCGGATTCATGTGGTGAGGCTGGTTTCTGTTTGTGATTGTATTCTTGACAGGAAAGGAGGCAGCGGATGCAACTATTTCCATGTAGACGTTGGTACATCAGATTTTTCGGAACACGGATGGTTCGTGCCGACAGCTTACCACTGACCTAAAGAACAGTTGACTTGAAACGAAGCTGTCCTGTACCAAATTCGGATGTCAAAGCAGACAGGCTGACCATCGCCTTTGGCGTGAGCCGCTGGTCTGTGTTCAGTAAGTCCCAGTGATGGCGAATCGCATCTCAGGAGCGTGAGCACGTTCATGCCTACGAGTTCTGAGTAACTATTGCCGGCCAAGAATGTTGAACTCCAGGTGTTCTTTTGTACTTCCGTGTGCTCTGCGCCCTTTCGGATGCACAAGGAGTACTGGAAGAGGAGGCATGCACTTTCATGGATCCTCACCCGTGTCGCTTGAACATGGACGATCATGGATGGCCTGTAGAAGTGAGCTACTCGTCTGCCGTTCCCGCGACCGGTGGAGTGCCTGACAGGATTTGGTGCAGATCGTTTTTCTGCACTGTCGCTTGCAGGCACGTCCAGTAAATGTGAAGATTGGCAATGCTGTTGTGCTAGTTCCACAGGCCGCAAGCCACAAGGGCAATTGGCAATACTCATATAGGTATAGAAGTCCGCTGAGGTCAGTTAAGAGAGCGATTTTAACAGTTGCCATGAAGGTAGATGTGTCACGGTCACATCTCAGCCGGTCCCGGAACAGGAGCATTTTTGAGCTGCTCATTCGGCGGAGTTCGTTCGGGGGAATAGAAGCCTCTCAAGGAGCAAAGAAGCTTGCTCCGACGACCATCCCCTGAAGCCAAACAAAATCATGAGATCTGCCAAGAGTTCTGGATTGTGGAGAGGATCTTTCAAAGGCATCATTCGTAGCAGGCTGGCGGCAGTGATAAATGCCTAGTTTGACCAGGTCAGGAGATGCTTCTGCCATTGCTTGAGTTGCTCAACTGCAGGCCTTGTTGTATGAGGAGGAGATGGAGGTTGTAGATCAGTACGTGGCGAAGTTGCACTGGGGGACATGGCTTTGTTGCAGGTGCACCAAGTTTCGAACCCGCATTGGAGGTTTCCAGCACATGTAATCCGCATATGCAAGGTGGGGATCACTCGCGAGACAGATGGAAGCCAGGACCTAATGATGTGGTCTCTGAAAGCCCGCGAGCTGAGTTTGGAGTTCACAGGATCAAATTGTTTGCAAACCTCCAGTTACTGTAAGACTTGCTTCTTCATTACTGCCTGTCATTCCCACATGTGGCTTGGCGAGTGATCGTCCGTGTTTCATCGCCTGTGCTGTCGTACAAGTAGCAATGCAAAGAAGTTGGCAGAAGTTGAATGCACTCGACGGGGTGGTCGCAAAGGACTCGGCCTGTCTTGCCGAAGGTTCTTGGAACGGCTGTGTTATGTCTGTTGAAACAGTTCTTGTGAAGAGGTTTTGTGATTAGAAGCGAAGTTGTCGACCTTGTGTGAGTCACCCGTCGGAGCTGCTATCCATTTTGAACTTCGTTCTGGGCTTTGCACATGGGCACCATGCCGACAGATACGAACTGCAGTAGTCCGGAAAGTAAGTGGCATGTTGTCGCCAAACTCGAGGTTACGACGGCGAAGCTGAGTACAGAGCTGAGGCGCTCTGTGTAAGCCGACTCTAGCAGTACGGGATTCGTGACGTCACAGGTTGGGCGGTTCCGAATCGCCAGCCACTCTGCAGGGCTGCTGCCAAAGACTGAGTCTACCGCACCGGTATACCTCAGCCATCTGTGCGACTGAACCTTGAGGATGCGACCACGCAAGACGGGGGACACCGAGGACGAGGCATGCTCATTGCTGCAAAGGGCGGTCTCGTTCTTTGTGCTGCCTTGCGAGATGTGGTCTCGCAGAGGAAACGGCTTTCTCTTGGCTCGATGGGCATTCGCGTAGACTCGGCCAGCTGCAGCCGAAGCGGCAGCCCGACGACTTCATTTCGTTGTGATGTCCAATCGTGCATCAGAATTTTTGGGTTTGATGCACCGCAGAGCATCAATAGCTGTGAGTCTGGTGTAGTCGTGTCGCCCCGGCCATGTTTGACTTCGATGCGCTGGAGCATTCGGAGGCGAGTGCGCAACTGGTGACTTTCCCTCAAGCCGATTCCGGCGACCCTTTCGCAGAGGGCTTGAACTTCCCCGTGGGTGCCTCGCCCGCGAGCACGGCTGCCTGAAGAGGTCGACTTGCCTTTTAGCTTGTGTAACGACGGCAGTGCGTGTTTCCAAAAAGGAAGAACTGGCCAAGGATCGCTTCTCAAGTCGGTCGCTCCTGTGAGAATGCGTACAGAAACGATGCCTGGTTGCAAAACATCCATGTCTTGGAGCCGCGCGTCATGACAGCATTATTGAGGAGAGAGGTACTCTGGGATGAACTATGATGAACTCGTGTGTGGCAAGTATCTACGCCCAATGGGTCCTGAACGGTAAACCAATGATTGACTACGTTCCATGGAGTGGGATGTGATTTACATGAGCAGCTTATCAGGAAGCCCTACGGTTCATGAGTGATTGCCCCACAAGTTTGATCTTTGCAAGATCGCGGCCATAAGAGCTGCACCCCGCACCGGGCCGCAACTTCTTCATCTTCAGAACTTTAGACTTAGCATCCCGTGTTTGTATTCGAACGCTTTGAAAGATGCTTCCACAAGACCCCATCCATGCTTATCCGGAGGAGTCTTGACAGCCGTTTGGTTTGCACGAAGCCTGGCGAAACGGTGAATGATCGAACATTGGGCATTGAGTTTCGGCATGCCGTGGCAGCTTTCAGCGGTGATATTTTTCGGGATCATTTAGCAGCTGTGTCTCCTTTTGACGACGGTCGAACTACCTCGTGGGTTCACGTTGCAACACTGACTCCGCCGCTGCCGTCGTCGTTGTTATTGTCACGTCGTCGGCGTCGTGCTGTCTTGCGGTCGTTGTCACTTGCCTTCCATCATTGTGGGCGTCACCTTTAGAATGCGGTGGCGACCTGAATGCATTTTTGGCTTGACTGGGCATCCTCAGGATCCAGCCGGGACAGATCGCTGAAGTGCAGGTGCCACTCCCACGGTAGTAGATGCAGCTATCTGGGTGAACGCGGCAGCATACAGATGTTTTGCATAAGCGCAACGATCCGTACGCACCAGTTCATGCTGGCGAGTGCAGTTGTACATTTGTGCCGGAACTCCTTAGTCCCGCTTCTCCTGGATAGGAGGTGTTGCAGGGAGGATTGTTGGTCTAGATGCTGGTGTACGGCTCCAACTCTGTTTCCACATGTTTGTACCGTTCGTGTACTCCTTGCTACGAGCTTGGATTCTGGTAAACCAACAAATATCAAACGGCGCCATATCACCTGATTCGGCTTCCTGACAGGCTTGCTCCGGGCGCAGGCTGTTCATCGTCTGTGGCGGACAGGACCAGTGGCCCAGTGATCTATCCCATGCCGCGGCCCCTCAACTCCTCAACCTCATGAAATCAAAACGGCGATTTGTCCATTGAGTCTTATTCCACGCTGCATCAAAGATGTATCAAGCTTGCACTTGCAGTCCTTCACAGATTCTGGTCGGAGCTTGTGAGAGGCATTTCTGCCTGACTGCTGCTGGAAAGCTCTTGTGCAGGAGGGTTGGGTGTCCGCCATCGCGCTTGCGACCCGACTAAGCCACACACTGTTGAGACCTTTGCTGAAGGGCCGGAAAGGTGTTGTGCCACTTTCGAACCTGATCTCGGAGAAGCGACGGGTAATGTGGAGCCGTACTAAGCATCGTTGGAATAACCAAGGATGCAACCATCCTCTGGCAGCAGGAGAATGGCAATAGCTGGGATCAGACTGAAGACCTTCGACAGACTCTCCGTGTGAGGCCGCCAAGTGACGAACAAAGAGTTGAAATGAGCACCTTGTAGCAGATGCCTGAGTGGTTCACCGGGTTAATCTTGCTAAGCAATTTGAAAGCTAAAAGGCCATTCCGAGAAGTCGATCGTCCGTTTCTCCAGCCTCTTATCTGCATGGAATACGGCGGGTTATGGAAGTCATCACTGCGGTCGGTGAAGGGGGCGAAGCAGGCGGGACACCGCAATCCATGAAGTGAGGGTCTCTTGGAGTGCAGGGTCGGTTTGAGTTCACAGCTTCTGCCTGATCTGCTGCTGCACGAGGCGTATCGAGGCGCAGTGCTTTGGGCTGCGCGATCAGTCCTTGCATCTGTGGCTTTGCAAAGTCAACCATGTAGGGTGTTGTGGGGGTGCTCTTCCGGATTGCCACTCAAAGCCGCGCGATGTATCCAGGTGGCTGATGGAAGCTGCAGCACCTGGTTCCCGCACGTGCGTCGATGTTGCCGTTGTTGGCTGCACGGCGTCAGCAGGTCTGGGTCCGCAGAGTTAAAACGCGAAGGAAAAGGTGTCAAATTGCTGTATGCGCCATGCTTTGCAGCGCATCTCTGAACTGAGACACTGCAGTGGCGGGCTACTGTGCTTGGCGCCTCGAGGGCGATCTGCAGCCCGAGCCTCCGAATTCCTCCGAACAGCGGAGTCTCAGCTTGGCGTCTACAAGTGTGCCTCGCTCAGCTCCCCCGTGCTCTACGTCCTCAGCTTAGCGGTGGAGGCAACCCAGCGCAGGCTGGGCTACGCCGAGGAGCGCCTTGTTCCGTGCGAATGTACAGGCTTCAACCGAATGCGCCACAGTGTCCACACATGGCAGAGTCGGTAACTATGTATGGATGCCTCTGATGCTCGACCTCCGAAGAGTGAAAGCAGATGAAACAGGAGTTGCTTCGCCACGCAATAAAACGCGGCGAGAGCAGCGGTGCGGCTGCTGCGACATTGCATGTGCGTGTGCGGATCCCCGGCCACAGGTTTCGGTACAGTAGTGCATAGAGTCAAGATAGAGCAGATTTGATTCGAGTCTTGTGCTTCATAGCTTTTTGTTACCACTTGCAGCTGCATTCTTGGCAGGTCGACAACCAGCCGGCCAACTCTTTGTACTCTCGCTTAGGCCAATATACTGATACTGTGTTGTCAAGTCCACCATGCATGATGGATTCAACTGAAAGACGGCATGTGGTGACAGGCACATGCATGCTTGAAGGCTTTGTTCTCGTTGCTCACGTTCACGACTACTACGGGAATTGCGATGCTTGGGAGCTGTTGAGGCCTCCTTCTCTGCTGTGCCATCACGCCTCTCCCCGAATCCGACAGCCGTCAGCGCAGGGAGCTACCTGCCATGGTGAAGCGCACAGTGGATCACACCCGGGTGCGGAACTCAAGCAAATGATCTGTGTTAGGTGTGCCAACATTGCTGCCCCTCTGTATCTGTAGCTGCTTTAAGCAGTGATGCAACCATTTACAAAGCCTGCTGTGCTTTGTGCATGAAAATCTCTGTAACTGCCCGTAGCAGCACCTTCCATTCATGACCTGGATGAGGTGCTGAAGCTGCGTGCTGAAGGAACCGGGTCCGTGTGCTGACTCCCAACAGACTTCTGCAGCTACCCAACGATTGTCTGCAAGCGGGCACGAAGGCCAAGTCGCGTCTTCTTCTGGTGCAGGCTTTCCCCAGATCTGCGTGATCCAGATGCTGCGGTGGACACACAACAACGAGGCGAGGAGCTGAGCTGAAGGTGTTTGCAAGCTGTGTTCTTCCTAGTGCCAAGGCCATGGCCGCCCTGCTGGCAGCTGGTGAGGTGCCCATCGTGGACTGCCAGGTGCCCGTCAGCTGAGACCGACACGGATGAAGTTTTCTGCTGTGCAGGATGTCATGCGTCAGGGTGGCCGAGCGTTGGGCAGCAGCTGCCGCATTGTTGGAAAAAGAGCTTAGACCGGTTGCTTCACTCACACACACACACACACACGCCTTCAGTGGCCATCTGCAGCCACCGTTCTGGGGTACGAGTACTGTCCTTGCCTTAAATGCTATTGTTCAAACATTATTCCGGGTCTTGTGCTTATTATAGCCAGGACAGCATCTGTTGCAAAAGCGTGTGCTTAGGGCTCCGTGCTACAAAGTGTGTTTGGACCAACATATGCCAGCCGTCGGTGTTCAGGACTGTGGCTTCGTTCCGCAGACCTCTGACATCGCGACTCGGTTCAGAGGGGCCGGGCTTGTTGTTTCGGGTGGGTTGACCCTTGCAGTACATTCTGGAATCGTTTGACTTGCATCGGCAGCTAAAGCCTTGTCAAACTCCAACGGGCCGAATGTCTCTCCAAGGTTCCGGCACTACCCAAGGCCAGGGCTCATGACTCCAGGTTGATGAGCACAAATCCGTAGCAGACGTTATCACGTTTGGATCACTGCCTGGGTCTGTGTACGAAACTTCGCTGTGCTGCACTCGCACCAACAAGCCTTTTCCTCAAATTTGCATGGGGCCTGTGGTGCAGAGGTGATCCTGAGCATGCTGACGGAGGTTTGCCACACCCCCATTGCGCAGAAGTGGGGTTACCCTGAGCGGGTTCGACTCTTAGCTGTTTGCAAATCTGGCGGTGCCTTCAGTTTCAAGGCTCGTCCTTGCATGTGTTGTCCCTTACACGGACCTTGTGCCGTTCTCGATTTCAGGTGCTGAACTTGATAGCTGACATCACGGCGGTTCTTGCCTCGTTGCTCACTTTTGTCTGCGTAGTCCGATGAAAGAAACTGCATGATGGGACGAGGCGAGTTGCTTCAGTTGAAGATGTCATGCCAACTTTGGCTAGTCCCCTGCGGTCTTGCAATCGGTCCGACAATCGCATTGGTTGTGATGATGAGATCAGGATGCTTTGGACCAGCTGACGCACCTGGGGGGTCTTATTATGCGGCCGGTCTCGCTGGCATACTATCAGTGCCCTGAAGCAAAGAGATGAAGGGCGAGCTGCCACTTCTGTTGTCCAGAGCGTTAACTAGCTTTGCTGCCATTGCCCAGGCATTGCCGCGTGATTGTCGCAACCCGACGCGATGGAGGGGCATTGGGGTTTCGGGCTTTTGGGCATCTTCGTTTTTAGGGACACAAGGTGATGCCACTTGTCAAGCAAAGGCGCTCTTCACCTTCATGTGGCCAATGGTGCACAAGAGGAGCTTGCACCCCAGCAGTTTGGGTTTACACTCGAAGCAGGGTCCCTGACGGCAGAGCTGATCGTTTACTGCAGAGGCTTTGTCATGCACCAACAGATCCACAACATCTAAGCCATCCATCTCGTGTGTCGGGTTCGAGGTGCAGACTTTGTTGGCAATATTTTCGCCGCCTGGCTGCAATGTCCGAAGTTTATGGAGCGCTGTAGGCATGATGTGCGTTTCGTGAAGGACACGAGCATCATCCGAATGTCCTGGGGACTTAATTAGTTCCTGCGAAGACTTTCAAGTTGTACTTGAGATGTTCCAAGCTTTAGTTTGGACAGGTCATGGCGCAGAAATGTTTGTTTGATGTTTCAGGATGCCATCGTGTTCCCTTGCGTGGTCTACTGGGCGACTTGGTTTTGACACATTTTGCAGGGGCAAAGGCATCATCGGGCCATCATCTGACGAGCACCTCACCTCGCCGTGTGAACCTCCGAGGCCATGTCCGGCCTCGAGAGGCGAACGAGCTGAAGTCTCTCCCTCTCTCCCTCTCTCTCTGTCTCTGTCTGTGTCTCTTTGTCTTTCTCTTGCCCTTTCTTTCTCTCTATCGCTCGGTCTCGGAGCAGACTTCCGAAGAGAAGCGGAAAAAAGAAGCGGAGGAGTTTGTAGAATTCTGGTTCGTGTGGTGCCAGGCTCGCAGAAATGATGGAGAACCCTGTGGGCGATGACGACACGGACATCGATATGATGCAGCAGATGCATGAGCTTGAGGCAGTCTCGCCCGCTCTCGTCAGCACAGTGGTTGCAGTCCAACGGTTGGAGCTGCTTGTTGTACGTGCCGCATCGTCCTGTGGAAGCAGCCGGCCATTGCCAGTGACTGGATTCACATCCAGCACTGTGACTCGTATCAGGTTGGACTGCAGCTGTCCTTCGAGATGTCAGAGGTCCGCCGCAGCATGATGAAGAGGATGGGAATGCCGTTTTGTTCAATGTCATTTTGTTCAGCCGGTCGTGTTCGCGTTTTCTCTCCCATTGGCATATCATTGGAGTTGACGTTTTGTCTGTCCTGGTATTTCTTCTCCAGCTGTTGCTGGGTCAAGGCGTAGGGTTTAGGCTTCTTGAGAGTTCCATACATGTCACGTTCCAATCTGCTCCTGACCCGGGCCTGGTAATTCTGAAGAGCGCAGGACACTGGCGAAAGGATGCCCCAGCTGCACTGATGCAGCAAAGGCGGCCATCAGGTTTCATTATACTTTGTATACTCATAAACACCCAGACCCTATCTGGCGTCTTGTTTACTACATGCACATATATGTAGAGATAGGTGAGTACACTTCGTCTGTACCCCAAGACCCACATCTGACTTGAATCCGGGTCGTCAGTACAAGCGGCAGTGCTTGGGATCCTTGGCAGGGCCAGTCTGCAAGGTGTAGCCTTTGGAGAAGGGGGGGGAGACAAAGCCGCTGTCTCATAGAGTGACTTCTCTTCTCGGGGCTGTTTCATGTCGTAGCAGGCGAAGATGCCGCCGTTGGCGCCTGCTGCCCAGTTTCAGGCCTGCCCTGCACTGCCTCTTTCTGCGTTTTTCTTTCCATGTATGCGAATCTTGGGAGGATTACTTCTGTTGGTTGCCCCTACCATCGGCCATCGCAGAAGGGGTCCAGACCTCAGCGAGACCAGTGAGACCAGTCGTTGTCTTATCTACCAGGCAGGCAGAAGGTTTTTATCAGGCACTGCACTCGTAATCTCATCCAGCATTCTCGTTGAGACAGTGCAAAGCTCATGGCTTTGTCAGAAGACTGCATTCTCAGATGACTCTCAAGCACGGGCATGTCGACCACGCCCACGCAGCCTTTTTGGAGGCTGGCTTCATCTTTTGCAGTGTAGTGTTTCAGATCTGGTTTGCTGTAGACCAGGCAACCGCATGCAGTTTCGTGCAAGTTGTAGGCACAGCCGATGATGCGCGATGGAAGCCCGAGCGTTCCAAATAAAAACCCGTACCCTGCAATCAGAATGACACCAGTTCGGCAACTCAGAGGCTCTGAGTCTCAGGCTCCGGACGGTAGGCCCTGGCCGAACCCTTAAACAGCGCCTCATCGCGCCTCTGCCTCGCCACAGGGGCACGTTTCCGACTTCCGCGGCTTTCTACGCAAGGCATTGCGCCGGTGTGGAATCCTAGCCTTTTGCAGGCTGTCTGCAGGATTCGCAGGTCAGTCTCGATCCAGGGACTTCAATAGGGCACGGCACAAGCGCGATCCAGACTTGTGTCAAGATTGAAGGTGACAATCGTTCTTTCAGTCTTGACCTGCAGCGTGACTGTTGCAGCTGGCACATGTGCAGCAGTGCAGCAGCTGCAATCGTGCTTCTAAGGCGCAATAGGACTTGAGGTCTTGGACATCAGAACGGATTTCAAGGGAGTCAGGGCCGGGACAGACAAGGCACAGCGCGGGCCGTCGCAGCCCCTTCGAGGCCATCCCAGAGGCGGAGAACTCTGGGCTTCATGGGCTCTGTGAGCAAAGTGTGATCCGAGTGTCGATGCTTTGTTGTCCAGAGCATACAAGCAGTTATTAGCAGTTACTAGCATCAGTTGCCATCCTGAATCCACTGCCGCCTGGGATCAAGCGTTTGCGGCCATCACTACCTGGGCACGCGATGCAAGCCTTGTCCTCAGAGTCAGGCTTCGAGTCCTTCGTTCAGGCGTTTACGGCTCTCACCAAGGCCCCAATGCAGCCATCGAAAGCAGAGGAGCCGAAGACACCAACAGCGACTAAATCCCCTCGCGTTGAGCAAGGCTCAGCTTCTCTGCAGGGGGGAAGGGAAGCCGAAGCCGCAGTCGCTCTTGGGAGCTGCTCTGAACGATGGCTGCCCCTGCAGATCTTCAGATCATCGACAGAAGCGGAGCCTGGCTCAGAGCGAAACTCGCTTCCCCACGGAGTACAGTAGGCCCTCAGTAGGGTTCTTTCTCGGCTACCCAGCCCAGGTCGTAGTCCGACACGGGGATCCGCAAGGCTGGGCTCTCAGCTCAAAGCCCTCCACATGCCACGACCCAAAACTCAGAGACACTCGAATCCTCTCTGAGGGAGCGAGCCACCAGTGCCGCCTCGCCGGATCCGTGCCCTGAAGATGAGCGCTTGAAGCGGCCGCCTGCCAGAGATTGCTTGAGAGGCGGACTGAGCTGAGTTGCGGCAGGATCGGGGCGTGCAGAATCTAAGGATCTTCGGTCCTGATGGCCTGCCCCCAGCTCCGTGCCTCTACAAATGTTCTGCTTCTTGACAACAGCAGTCAGATTCTTAAAGGAAGAATCCACCAGCTGCGGAGCACAACCCAGGACATGTCGAACACAGACCTTCTTGAATGGCTGGGGCCGCTTGACGTTGTGCAGAGTAGGATCGTAGGATCAGGATGTTGTGTCATGTCTCTGGCAAGTGCAGTGACCCAGGTGAACAGGAAGGTGGAGGGTCTCGAGAGGGTCGTTGGACGCAAAGGCGGCTCGGCTCGGACACTTCCTCGTGAGCTGAAAGTTGGAATCGGTAAGGGGCAGTGCTGAGCCGAGGATCGGATGCCAGCGGCCATGCCAAAGACTCTTGCAGCAGGGATGCTTTGGTTGCGTCCCAGCAAAACCATAGGCTCCTAGGCCATAAGCTAGACAAGAACGGACTGAAGATATTTTAGACACCGCCCACCAAGCAACCTGCTGTTCCTTGCAAGAGACGGCTCAGTGATTTTTGCTTCGGGCCGAAGCCCACTGGCAAGAGGAAATAACACTTGGGCCCACTGCTCTACCACGTGCTGGCATAGTTGTATGTTTTTCTATTCCAAATGACAGACCAGTCGGCTGTAGCGTCTCTCCATACCCAGGCCTGACTCAGCAAATTTCCGCTTGCCAGGTGTTTTTTACCAGTATTCTGGCTGAGAAGCAGGGGCATGAGCGCTCACATGAATAGATTGCAGATGAGAGCAGTGTTGCCGTTCCCTGCATCTCACTCAGCTACCCACTCACTTGAGTAGATTCCGCCAGCTACTCCCCCCACTTGGGCGATGCTGGCGGGGCAGCATTCGGAAGCCCGTTGCATCGTGCTTCGAGCGGAACGAAACTGTGCACGAGCTGCACAAGTGCCTCGCAAGAGCGTAAAGTCTTTGAAGACTCTGGTCGAACACAGAGGACTGCAACGGCTTTCGAGGGCTCCGGAAGAAGTGCATGTGGAATTCTGACGAAACTGCGGTTGGCTATGCGAGACGGGGCTTGGGCCCCAAAGAAGAGTAGAACACAGTCGCAGCCTCTTTCGAACATATGCGAGAGAGGCATTTGATCTCTGTGTTCATCAGTCTATGAACAACAGTAATGTTGCATGAGACAGTGTGGAGATGGAGTAATCTCTGTCCAAACACCCTACTGGTTCAGCTTACTCAAAGTGCATCATCACTTCGGCATGCGTAGGTGTTCGGAACCTCCTCGTAGCAGCCAGCCAGTGTTGGCCGTGTCTACAGGCACATGTACAGCGCATGGCCTGCTCGAAAGTCTAACCTGACATCGGTGAGCATGTTGCCCAACTCCGCAAAACGGTTGCAAGTGTATCCCGGGTATCCCCGTGCCTTCGCTGCAGATCCCATTCGGGAACGCATCTTTTGCAGTTTGGCAAACACCGTGCTCATACATGCTATGGCGACACGCCGTCGCTAGTGCACGAGATGATGTCACCATAATTCGCCGAGAAGTGTCAAAGTCGCTGACTACAGTGGATGCATGCTGAATATGGTGCATCGGGAGCTTCAAGGCACTGTTGGCTGCAGATCATGATGTTCTTGATGGCTTTATGTGTTGCCCAGCAGATGATGAGTCCGAAGCCTCACTGTTTTCGCGTCCCAATCGGCCTTGACTGCCCTTCGGGGGTCATGTCTTGCCCGCTGCCCTGCACTGCAGAGTACCTGCTTTCGGACAGGGCAGGAACCTTCCGGAACGCCGCAGCTTGTTGCAGTTCACCTCGCCGGCAGCCAGAACGATACAAGTCTTCGAACCACCAGCCACAGTGTCAAAAAGCTAAGCTGCGCGAGGTGTCCAAAATTGCCAGCGGCCAGTTGCATGATGCGACAGCTCTCACATGCGGCAGCATGCAAGCCGCTGTAAGCCCTTCCGGAAAGACTCGGAACGACCTGAAAGTTGAGCTGCTGTTTTTCGTTCCGAGCGCAGCGGGAGGCTTTGGCTCCTGCCAGCGGTACTTTCAGTAATGCAGGTGTTCTAAGCTGACTACGGTACCGGTCATCTACGAGCCAGATGGTGGGCAAGGCTTTGGTGCGTTTATCGACGCGAAGGCCGTGCAGAGGTCTTAAGCACGATGCTGTGCGCGAGACACGTCGCGCTACGGTGTCTGCCTGTCAATCCAGAGGGGCTTGTCATTTCATCCTCACTTAGCCAGGAGGGCAGTGGAACAGCATCTGGTGTGGTGAAATAAAGATTTTCAGCCACACCCTGCCGCCTTGTTCGGGCTTCGTGACGTTGTATTTTATGTTGCATGTCTGCTGCCACAGCTGCAGCCGCCCGCAAAGTCTACGATGGCACAGACCATGTAGACGAATGCTGGGATTCTGGAGGTATGCAGACCTAAGGGTACGAGAACTCCTTTCGTCCTCTGCTGCATAACCCCTCAATTAACTGGAGTGAGCTGCCTGATGGGAGGAAGCACCTGATAAACGGCCTCCCAGGCTGCGTCTTTACATTCGCGAGGTTTGCGATTTGTGTAGCTGCTAAGTGCCATGCTCAACTCCTTTCGCGGAGGCATGGCCTGTAAGTTATGCATGGTAGTCCGGCCGTTTCCGTGCTGGACAGGCGGGCTCCATCAGCAGCATTCAAAACCGTTCGAGCAGACCCTGCCTACACCCTGACAGGGAACATGAGACTCGAGAGTTGGTTACTTCGATGTATCAGAATCTAGTGGCAGCTGATGGGGCCAACGTTGAATTCAAATCTCTTGTGCGTGTCAGCTCTCCTTCTCTCCCGCATTGTTCTATGACACTCACTGACGGTGGCCAGGTTTCTTGGGGATGAACCGGGCTCTTGAACTCTTCCAACTGGGACTTCATCTTCAGTTTAGATATCGGGTTGTGTTCGCTC